GAAAAAATGTTATAAACTCATTGCAGATTTTTTGGGTATCCTTTATAACTTCTACCGACTCTTCTGCTATCATTTTTACTATTATCTAATTTTGGTAAAAAGTGCGCTCTTGTTGTCTCCCTAGTAAGCTCTATAAATTTATTTTTATATTTATTGTAACGTTCGATGTTCTCTTTTGTTGACGTTAGTTTAATTACTTTGTAAAGGTTATCCTTCTCATTTGACATCTTACACTATGTTACAATGAGAAATGTGTCGTGCCATCCGATTTGCACCCGAATTCGCATGGACGTATACTTGATACTGTCGAATTTGCAATGATTCTATAATTTCAGGTTGTCAGAAACAAAGCTGAAAAAATTTTAGAAGAATACGCAGACAGCCCGAAGAGGTCGTACATATCCAGGAGCTGGGTGAACAAGTTTTATTACTGCGCAGAACCTGGGCCGATAGACAACTCCGACTTCTTATGTCATCACGGTGCCGTTAACCCAGATAGAGATTTAGACTTAGAAAAGATAACAATGGTCATTCCGTATGAAGTTTACGACTTCCTGTATAAAAAGTTTGGTGGCTGCCCTCCGTTCACCGACCTTGCTGTATGTCCTGCGTGTTTGGGTTTGCACAAGAGACTGCTTTTTGAAATGGAGACGTTCCTGCAAATCAGCAGAGAAGCACAGAATCAGGATGCACCAAATACGCACTTCCTGTCAGCATCGTGGTTCAGCCAATGGCACAATTTCGTGCAGAAACGCAGCGTGGATCCCCCAGGCCCCATAGACAATACTAAGATAAATTTGAACCAGCTGGATTTAAATGAAGCTGCAGAGGTTCCAGAGTCTGTTTGGAATTTCTTTTACAACATATATGGTTAGTAAAGTTGACAATTACCATCAAGCATACTGTGTTGACATTTCTTTCCAGTGTTCATAAAAGTCTGAATGATATTTTCAAAATTCGAGGTCGCAAAATAACATGTCAATATCTTGTACGCATATAAAATACTAAAAAGTTGCTACTGAAAATCGGTTTTTCTCAAATAATGTTTGAACAATACCGTGGGATTTAGCGAAAATTTTACAGATTAGTAGCTACACTACTCAAAAAAATTAAGGGAACAAAAAAATCTAAGTTTTTCGGTAATTTTTGACAGACAGTATTTCGGTAAAAAATCGTCGTATTTAGACTTTAAAAAAGCATTTTGAAGCTCTAAGATTACAGTTTACAGGTTTTTTAGCCGAAACATTTTAAGAGCAACGGTTCACATGCAATTCTGATAGCGCATAAAAAATTTGTTGCAAAATGTTTACCTTCTTTTTAGTCTACGGGCTTGTTAGGCCATGAATGGATGAGATAGTCAGTTTATTCAGCTTAAATATCGTGTTCTTCAAATCTCGATACGATCATTTGACATGGAGACATCTGACTATGAATGACAAAGCATCCTTTTGTCAATGACCAGTGATCGCACAGAGAAAGTAAGGATATTTCCGAAAACTGGGATAAACCTCCTATAAAATTTGATTGTAATATTTAAGGACTTGTTTGTTTCCCTAGTATTGGTTTTTAAAAAAGTCAAAAAAGTTTCTTTGTTGTTTTGGAAAATATTTTTGGAACTGCTAATGAGAAGGTTAATATTTTTTTATGTGTTTTATACCTCAATGTCCCCCAAATAACTCTGCATGACGACAGACCGATCCATTGTACGGTTTCTCTGGACCGATTGGTCAAAATTTGGACGAAATCAAAGCAGCAAAATTTTTGAACCAGAAATCTGGCTAAAAATGGAAAAATCATTTTTCTTCTTCTGTTGTCACTATTGGATATCTGTAACACCATCAGTTTAAAAAAAATAGAAAAACATTTGAGGTTTATTCCAGATTTAGGAGATACCCTTACATTCTCTGTGTGATCACTGTTTATTGAGATATCAGTGGTCGATGACAAAAGGATCCTTTTTCATTCAAAAGTTTTAAAGCCCGTGGACTAGAAAGGAGGCAAACATTTTTTTCTTGCACTATCTGTTAAAATTACATGAGAACCGTAGCTCCTAAAAGTCTCCGGCTAAAAAACTTGAAAACTTGAATCTTAAAGCTTCAAAATTTTCAAAGCATACAGACGACCATTTTTCACTGAAATACAGTCTCTCGAAAATCCCAGCAAAATTTGTTTTTTTTTTCTTGCCACCTTAATTTTTTTGAGTGGCGTATTTGGAGTCTTACTTAAAGGTGTCCATGAAAAATAATTGACTCATTTAGAACACCAGAAATGGACTAACGGAATATTGTTGTTGTTTTCTTGACCTTGATTATACTCCAGAGGAGTCCAACGAGGCAAAGCAAGACCCATTACTATTCAGTCAGTCAAAATGTCACTGCCAAATAGAATGAACCACTTAAAAAAATGACTTGACCTTGATAATAACATTCAAGGTCACTAGAAACAATTTGTTATTCGCTGTTTCAGGTGGTGGGCCGGAAATTAAGATAAGACACGCCCCATCAAAAGAAGAAAGTGACGAAGAGAGCATTCCAGAATATGAAGTAGATAAATACGGTTTTCGGATACACAGGCAGAAGAATGAACATTCGGATGTTAGTTCAGAACGAGAAGAAAATGCAACAGAAAAAGACACAACGGAAGACGAGAAGCAAGACTCTCGAGACAAAATAGATACTGAGTGTGCAGAGACAATATCTGCAGAGGCATCAACAGATTTCATCATTCCAACATTGAAAAAGAAACAACAAAGTGGTACGTGACTATTTTATGTTGATCTCTTTGATTAGCTGATAAATAATTTGAAATCATAAAAATATTTTATTCATATGAATTTGATGGTGGACACATTTTCACGATTTTATTGAGATGTAAATACTTAATTGATAGTGTCATCTAAAACAAGGTACCTGTCTGAAATAATGATAAATAATTACAAATGTCTCTTTAATTATTAAAAACAGTATTTCGCAATAGATCTTCACGAAATTTATGCTCTCCTGCTCTGATCCTTTATCTTCCCAATGCCAATCTAGTGCTAATTGTATAATTCATCGAATTAAAAAAATAATTCCTATACAGGGTATTCATTTGAAAACTTCCCACCGCGGGTTTATCGAAAACCACTGATTAAAAGAAAAAACGCCGAGACACAAAAAGATTTGTCAAGGGGCACAACTTTTTAACCAAAAACAAAATTATAAAAACATATTAGTTAAAATGTAATAGAAATATGAGCTTTAGATCATGTATAAAAATGAATGCAAAAATAGACAGTGTTCCAAATGAATTGAATTGCCCTGATTTTTATTAAATATGCAATCTGCTGGTTTTGTGGTTACTTGTAGTTTTATGATCCTAAGCCTGGATATTAACAAAACAAAAAATTTATCAAGGTTTGTAAATTTGGAATTAGCCGTCAAAATCGAAAAAATAGGCAACCTGTCAGTAGTCGGCACTGTGAACTTAATATGGTTCACTTTATTGGTGTCACTGTCAAAAATTACGTAACGTAAGGCTTAGCGATTCGTATTTGTTGTGCTAAAAACTCTGTTGTTCCAGGTTCCTTAGATAAGAGCATGTACGACCATGGGGAACCACTGGAATCGCCTACATTGCAAGACAACAGTGATGCAGCCAGTATGAAGGACGTCCAAATGAAAATGTTGACTAAGAATGAGACTGAAGTGTTGGAAAAGCTGTCGATCGAAGCTTCAAACACATCATTGGAGAACATTGATAACGATATCGACGAGGAAGAAGAAAAGCAAATTAGGAACAAAGTCAATAAGCGACGAGAGAGGAGAAAACATATGATTAAGAAAAGCAAATTAGGAACAAAGTCAATAAGCGACGACAGAGGAGAAAACATATGATTAGCACTTAATCACCAGTGCATATTTCAGTTACAATAAAAAGCATTTCGTCATGATGTTCTGTTCATACTATTATGGGTTATGTGCATTGAGAGGGTTATTCTGAATAAATGTACCAAAATATCTGTAAGATAAATATATTGTACCATTATTTATTTACTAAAATAAACAAATGAAAGAAGCTCACCTTTATGATCTAAGATTCGGAAATATTGACTCGACAATCTCTTAGCGATGGGAAACGTTACGGTTATACGGCGCGGGCACTGACCACAAACAGGCTTTAAATTAATTGAATCCATAACAATTTCTAATTTAGCAGTGATTCAATCGGCACTTTAAAAAAATATGTCGTCTCTTCATCCCACAGTGTCAACGCGGATGTTCTCAGGATCGGTGTTGGCTCCGACATTGTTCCTCTTACATATCAACGGCCTCTTTTCCTGCACAAACAATCCAATCCACAGCTTTGCTGATTACAGCACTCTACATGCAGGACTTTAGAGTGACAAGCTAATAATCTCTGCTGGTGAGCTGGAGAAAAGAAGACTAACAGCGACTCCGCCTCTTACAAGAAATCTGGAGGTTAGAATTCGTTTGGAGGTTATCACTTCTTGGAGACGCAACAATTTTGTACAGTTTAATGCTTCCAAAACACAAGAACGTCCTAACGCTCATTCTGTTTCGATGGATCGCCGAGTTCTACCAAAGAACCATTCATTTCGGCTGGTCAGAGTCCAGATCACCGAGGACTTGAACTCGCACGAATACACCTCGTCAATAACGGCAGCTGCTGGGAAAAAGCTAGACTATTTGTTTAGGGCTAAGAAGTACTTTTCTCCTTCTAACCTCCTCACTCTATACAAGGCCCAGATAAGACATAGCCTCTAATACTGCTCACATGTTTGGGGTGCTGGCGTCCCGAGTACATCATCCATGCTCGGTGCTGTTCAGAGGAGGGCTGACTAATCGATGAGTGCTCTAATGGTCTGCCTCTGGACCCTTTCGCACCGGCGATCTCTTCTACCGTTACGCTCTCCTCCATGATGCCGCCGCGCGATGTGTCGAACTTCGTACATTCAGAACTAGCCGATAAGACCGCTCCTTTGGCACCATGCTATCGAGATTGTGGGACAATTTACAAGAGGAGGCTTTTTCCAGTTCACTAAGCTCAGGCAGGTCAAAAATCGGATTAACAAGGTTTCTTTAAGCTCCTCAACAGCCGCGGTGCCCTGGCATTTAGGCTTCTGCCTGTTGCTGCGGTGTAAAAAAATGAAATATGAATATTTAATTATTTATTTACCAAATACAAACACATGCAACCTAACATGTATATCTATATTTAATTTGTCTCCAAAATCGACCCTTACAATGTTATTCTACACATAAGATTGCATACTAAATCATTTAATCATCACTTCCAATAAAACATATTTTAGGACTTAAGCATTCTACAACTAAGAATGCAACTGTCCAATTTTAGAATGCTATTGTAAAAAACAAGAATTTGTCATTCATTGCAGCTATCTAAATGGGTAATATTTGTGGTCCTTATAAGCAACAAGTGTTGCAATTCGTTGGCCTGTGTTGCGAGAGTCCAAATAGCTGATGTCTTCTGGATCCAGATCAAAATCGAATATTTGGATATTCTCCTGTATTCGATTTTCGTTTACTGATTTCGGTATGACAGCTATGCCCAGTGATATCTGTAAAAATGTATCTAATTTGAAACAGATACATTGTTTTAATATGTTTTTCTTATGCAATAATTTTATAGCTTCTGAGATTGAGTGTATAAAATGCTCTACATGTACCGTCAAATTGTTTAATAATAACAATAACCGACTTTATTAAAAAATAAGAAAATCTTCAATCAAATGAAACGTGTATATATATATAATTGCGTTAAAAAAAAGTACAATAAGGCATCACAATATGACACACAGGGACACAATATACTCTGTAAAAAAATCCACTAAAGTTCAAAAAACAATATATACTTACCAAATACCTCAATACAACTTGAGCAGCCGTCTTACCATACTTTTTACCCATTTCCACAACTTTCTGGTCCAACAATGTCGAAACCGGGTAACCCGGTGTGACCTGACTTTGTGCAGCCCGACCTAACGGACAGTAACCCGTGACTACAATTTCCCTTTCCTTACAGAACCCTATCAAATCTTTTTGGTTCAAGTTCGGGTTCACTTCTATCTGATTCACTGCAGGTCTTATACGACAATTCTCCAATACCCTGTAATCACCAGGAAATGAGAATTTCTTAAAATTTTGTACTTTAAAACGAAATATGATTAATAATCCTGATAATATAAATGATACTGGTTGCTTGAGTCCAAATATCTCTATTTTTAAGCCTCTACTGTTCAAAAATACCTGGTAATCTGCTCTTCATTGAAATTGGACAAACCGATACTCTTTGCCAGACCTTGATCCACACACTCTTCCATACCTTTCCAGGTTTCCACATAGTCAATATCAGTGTATGCAGATGGATCATTTGGCAATGGGTCAGCATTCTCCTAAAAGCATTTATTCTACAGGTTGACTATCAATTACCAATATATTTTCTGACCATTCATCCATCAATACAGGCTTGCATCTTCCGAGAAATTCAACATTCTAAATAGGTTTACAAATGCACCGTCAATTGTATAAATAACTACATACCTTGAAACCCATTGGCCAATGTATCAAGTATAAATCTATATATGTAAGATTTAACAAACTCAGGGATTCTTTCAATTTTTCCACTACTAATTCCCTTGCGTGAAAGTTGTTCCACAACTAAAACGGACAAAATGGTATTTTATGTATTTTGAGACTCCATTGGAGATTCTTATTAAAATAGCTCCTCGTTTATGAAATGTAGGATTTGCAAAAATAAAAGTGCGTCTGTCTTCGGCTATATATGCATTTGATTTGTGGCTATACCTAGGATATGAAATGACTGTTTTTTGGACCAAAATTGTACTCTTGACAACATTTACCAATATTTCCAAACTGATTTTCACAAACTGCCACCAAATGTTGAAGAAATCGAAATCTGTACCTTCGTCACAATGAACAAATCTTCTCTTTTAATAGAACCCTCGTCCAATATTTCTTTGAGAACATGTCCAATTTCAGCCTCATTAGCATACATCCAGGCACAGTCAATATGTCTGTAGCCTATTTGAATGGCATATTTCACGGCTTCCCCCACTTCTCCAGAACTGGACTGGAAAATATTGGAATGGTTTAAATGAATTCTTGATTGACTTAGAATGCGCCAGTGAAGAATGCAAGAATCGCTTAAATTTATTAGGGTAAACTTTTCAAGAAAGGAAGAAAATTGTCTGTGGTACAGACTCTGAAAGATGTAGATAAGTTTTTGATTCGTTAGTCCCTAAATTTCGTCGTCGTCGAACTCGGTTCCAGAGATTACAAATGTTAAAAAACGGTTTAAAGGATACTCCGACGGGAATGTTACATGCACTTTCGTGCAAAAAAATTAAATTTAAAACATTTAAAAAGATTATGTGGATCCAAAAAAATTGGCGATTGCGTGAAACAGCTACTTTAGCACTTATTTTCCTAACATATGTATTAAAAGTATGTAAAATTTTACTCGTCAATATTGTAGCTCTTGACTAAACCATATTGTTTTGCATATGTTTTCCTCTAAATAGGAAGAGAGTTTCAAACAGTTTTTGTATTGCCCAAAGATCGTTATGCAAGTTACAATTTTGATATCTCGCTCTTTGCCTTACGCGTAGACAGTGGCGTAGCAAGGGGGGGCGGTGGCGAACCGCGCCGAGTGTCACCTTTTTTGGGGTGACACCCAGCCTGTGACTCAGCTAAGAATAATGTACAAACACATAAAAAAATTGCACAGATTGCATTGCAAAGTAAAGGCTCAACTGTTGACGACACTGCTAAAAAAAATAGAGGGACTGAAAAGGCATAGAAGAAAACGGGGTCACATTGTGAAAGAGGCAATAGATATTGCTACAAAAAAATATATATTCCAACGGAAAGAGGATTTCGTCGTAAAAAACGGGTGGTTGGTGAGATGGCCAGTGATGCAGGACTGACACTGAAAGAAGAACTTCAAAAAGATATGTTGGAATGTCTTAACTGATTCAGAGTTGAACTCCAGACAAGATCGAAGTCTCTTCAAGACCTAGCTCCATTGTTCGAGATCATACAAAGGAATACTTTGCTTTTGGCGAATACTGAAGAACAGAAATTAGCTACATCCAAATTTACTTTACTGAATTTTATGATGAGGTCTCAGAGGCAGAATTACTTTTGGACATACCAAGACTGCGAAGACACTTAAAAGCCAATAATTTTACAGTTTCTGATTCGGTATCTCTAGATTTTTTAAAGTTTATTATAGAATGAGATTTTACAGAATCTCTTCCAAATCTTATGATTGTACTAAAATTATACATGAAGGTTTGCGTGTCTGTAGCTTCATGTGAAAGGAGTGTCAGTTGACTATAATTAATAAAAAACTATTTGAGGACAACAATGACATAATCGCAGCTTGGCAATCTTGTCAAAGCTAGAAAGAAGATATTTTAATTGTAAGATAAACATATTTTTTCTGTCTTAGTTTTTGTTTTATTTGTTCAATATATCATTAAATGAAAATATTAAATGATCCATGACGTTTATAAATCATATAAAAGGTTTTGCTTTTGACTATCGATGGGGAGACACCACCAACTTCCGCACCGAGTGCCACCCAAGGTAGCTATGCCACTGCGTGTAGAATTTCATCTACTGTAGAAAAGTCTCTTGCACATTTTAAAGACACAAAGCTTTTGAACAAGCCTTGTATAGGTTCAAAATGGAAAACATAATCGACACTAGCTATTGAAAAGAGGGATGTTATTCTTATATACGCCCGTATGTATTTTCTTATCATAGCACGATAGGGTTTAAAATCCCTTTTGATTAAAAGCACCTTATTTTATTTACCTTGTACGTTCCTAAGCCTACAACAGGTATTTCGTGACCACTATTTAGTGGTAACACTGTTGGTATTGTCGACATTATTTTAAATTTCTTACTTCCTTCTTATATGCCTTTAAGCCCAATTTTGAATTTAAAAACAAGGACAAAAAGGTTATAGGTGTACGAAAACTGCGACGAAACACTTGACACCATAGAACTACGAATGCGAAAGCACTGCACGTATCGGTCGCCGTTGGAAAACGTATAGTTGAGTCGTACCATACGTCATTCGTTGACCGCCTATGTGTCTGCCATATTCTAGGTTTCAAGTGTTGAAAGTAATACAGGGTAGGATGTCGAAAACTATTTGATCTGTCGTATACACATACAGGGAGTGAGTTTTCCGGTAGGCTCGGACGATTATTACGCATGGTATCTAAAAAAAGTTATATATACAAAAGTTGAGGCTGAACCAGTGTTGGGAAATATGTTTGTCTATACATAACTAAGTGGTGACTCAAACATACATTTTTCCAAATGGAATACTCTCTATTTTATTGCAGATTTATTTTCAAATTTTTGAGAGTAAGAATCGTTCGTCTATCGAAAAAAACGCTCAACTTTGACAACCGTTAGCTAGAGTACTGAATTTTTCGTCAGAAAAAAATTATGATCCAAAAATATGTGACTTGGTAAAATATCCAAGATACAAGAAGTTTAGCTGTAAATCAAAATCCAATTGTACAAACCACCAGTGACCTTATATAGCAAAAGAAAGCTTGCGAAAAGGGGAATCAAAACATGTGGAAATGTACAGGGTGTTCAATTCTAAAAGTTTGTCACACTGTTTATTTTGCGTTCTTGGAAACATTGTATAAATTGTTAAAGAATACTGAAAAGGTAAGCAGGAATTGAGAAAATATGGGATCATAATTTTTTTCTGACGAAAAATTCAGTGGGTACTCTAGCTGTAAGGCTTGAGGAGGTGCGAGTTGTCAAAGTTGAGTGTTTTTTTAAAACCCTATAGTATGTGACATGAAATTGTTTCGTTCGGTAGGGCTAATCAACAAAACTGTAATAAATTATAGACCATTTAAAAGAAAGATGTTTGGGTCACCACGTAGTTACGAATCATTCTGTAGATTTAAAAATATTTTGCTAGTCAGGCTTCAATTTTTCTGTTTAACTTTTTCAGACACAATGCGTAATAAACGGATTTATCGACCGTGCACATTAAAACTCAATCTGTGTAGAACACGAAATAATCTGTAGTTTCTGTAAAAAATGCTCTACGCGGCTCACCAATTTCAAGGCCATTGTATTTATCATTAGTAAATTACGTAAAAAGTTAACTATACCAGCCGCGTTTCATTAAAGTCATCAGCTAGTAACCTGCTTAAATCTAACCACAGAATATAACTTTGAATATCAGACAGAAGAATTCATGAGAACCAATTACTTACTTTTCAATGTCAAAAAATGGCGTTAAGTAGGTTGACTCTGCACTTTCTACGCAACTCCGTGAGTAGTTCATAGAGGATTAGGTTTAGCACAAGTTAAACCCTCTGGGAAAAATTAGTTAAGAACATGTACAATAGAGAAATTAAACAGATCAAGTCAGTCAAACAGACCCATACAATTACTTCATAGACATTCTTGTCCTGCCATACCGGTAGTTACCGTCCATCTGGCAACATTACACTTTCGTAGATAGTCAGACACACCGAAGCACCGTCGCAGTACGAGTAGAAGAATCAAGCAGTCTGCTATGTCGAGCGCTCACCCCAGATAGTAGAAGGAGATGAGCATCGAAAACATTTCTCTTTTATTCTGACACAAATGTACGGGGAAACCTATGATGTGTGGAATATGGCCAGTAGGGTCTTAGAATCACCGAATTTGAAAGCGTATAAATAAACTAACATAAAAAATTAAGATTATCATCCCCCGCCAATATACCTATTTTCAAAAACCACATAGCTTTTTCGTGCTTGGCGTAATAGTAACCTTATGTAAAAAGTTCCTCCAAATCCGGCAGAAATGTATAGCAGTTTGGCACTCGCTTTCGTAATCTAACACCATTGTATTACTTTCTGACACATCATGGTGCCAAAAGCATACCAACTATAAGTTATAGCTATAGGAACTGAGCATTGCGATTTTCTGGTATCCTTTGGTATTCCAAACGCTGTCCCTCTTTGACGTCACGTTTACAGCACAATTCTTACGATTTATACGTATATATGAGTATTGTGTCTCGTGACAAATCTAAGTCTGAGTAATATATTATCGATACAGACTGCACTTAAAAAGTGATTTATGTTATGTTTGTTGCTCAATAGTAATTTGAAAAGTGTGTAAAGCTTGACTGATTTTGTTCGGGTTGGTGTTGCCGTGAATCACTATGCTAACATCTATATTGAAATTCTAAAAATAATTGACTATATGTACCTATTTTTATCACCTGCTGATATAATTGAAGTGCTTGATTGTGTCAGTATTTGCACCAATTCTTGATTTGCTGAATGGGCAGTTCAGAGTCTTAATCCGTAAGCTTAGTACACACTAGTATACCCCGTTGCGCAATTTGTCTCTGGGCTGTCTGGAGACGGTCTCAAGACATGATCTATAGATGGTATATAGACATCCTTATTTGTCTCGTCTAGCGTCCATACGATAATGTGAATTTTTGGGTCTCATGCTCGTTTTGTGGAATGGACTGGGATATGTCTCGGGGTCCCTCAGAATGTTTTTTTTTTCGGTTAACAGCAAAAAATTGTTTTATGTATTAATCTTTAATATCTAGAAAGAGGTTGTGACCATAGTGCCCTATTAGAGTTTTTCAATTTGGATTCACTGTCGACAAGACGAAACATATTTGCTTTGTCGTTTTTATATGGCCTCATTCACAATAAAATTAACTGTCAAAATTTACTTGAAAAAATATGTTTCCGCGTTCCAAGGCTAGCCGTACAAATTTTATGACAAAATCGCCAATTAATCTTATGTGCTGCGTCATGAACAGTGTTACTGAATCGTGTGATATTTACAGTGACAGTTGTACATCGATTATTAACTGCTATAGATCATCCAATCTTATTTAGAATGTGTGATACTATAGATTTAAGTCCAAGAACCATGTCTCTTTAATTGTTATTTTTTTTTTCAGCATTTCCTGTAATTGGGTTTCACCTGTTGGAAATAAATAAATAAATAAATAAATATTATTACACTAGTTAATTATAAATGCCACGTACTAATTTTGTTCTCATATGATAAAATATTGCGTTTCTGAGGATTTCTGGGCATTTTCCATGTTTTTTTTCAAGCTGACAGTGACCAGATAGATCACAGTGGAAGTTCCACTGAAGTTGAAAAATTACCAGCCCCAAATATCGGTTGCGAACCCTCCCCCCTAGCCGAAATCCTAAATCCGTCCTTGCTGTACAGGATATATAGAGAGGCCAAGGATTACCGGGAAAACCGACGGAAATCAGTGATAAATCTCATTTTCAAAATTTTTCACGATTGCAATATTACCCTGCCAAGTGGCGTAGGAAGTAAAATTGAATAAACAAAATATTTTGCAAATACATAAAGTCGGAATCTAAACATTTATAATTTCATGCATAACCGATGTCACGATATCAGTATATCAAAAAAAGCTTTTTATTATGGTCACAATTGGTTAATTAACGTTAAGTGCCTGATGAGATAATATGAGTACATATAACATTTACATATACAATGGGTTTTTAAGAGAAACCTAATATTTCCCATATTATTCTTATTTTCGTCGGAGAAAATAGAAATGCTAAAAAAACTGATCATATGAAATGCATCAATTCGCTGGACAAATATATTTGTGCACTTTTTGGCAATTGTCTATACTCATAATTTGTATGTAAAAAGTTCGCTTTGCCCGAGATATTCGCTATACCCGCACCCGCATTACGTAGCTTAAAAGTGACGTTATACCGATTTTTATGACATTTAGTTTTTTTTGACATTATGTGGGTTTCCGTATAAAATATCAGCCTTGAGCTATCACCAACAAGGCGTTGAAGCTGCTCTCGCCGAAAGCCCTGACATACTTGGTGACAATAAGGTCATCATGATTCCAAAGAAGGTGGGTTCGATATTTCCTCAGGATTACCGTCCCATAAGTCTGCTGTCAGCTCCTTCTAAGCTCACCGAAAAGGTGATTTATCGTCACCTTGAGAATTTTTCGTCAAATCACCATGTGATTCCTGACGTCCAATTCGGTTTTCGGTCCGAGCATAGCACCGAGCTACAGGCAGTCAGGCTGGTGGAGCATGTAACCAGAGGTTTCACCCTTAGCATGAGTACTGGCATCTTGCTTTTGGATGTCTCAAAAGCCTTTGACAAGGTGTGGCACGCGGGCCTCCTCTATAAACTAATCCAAAAGGGTTTTCCTTTTTGGCTTCTAAAATTACTGAAATCCTTTCTTGAAGGAAGGAAGTTTCGGATCAAAATTAACAATGTTTTGTCAACAACACGGCGAGTACGGGCCGGTGTTCCTCAGGGTTCGGTCCTAGGACCAATTCTTTATTCGCTTTTCATCCATGATGTCCCTTCCCCCAGCAACTGTGAAGTCTACCTCTATGCTGACGACACTGCACTTGTCGCCCAGTCGTGTACTGGTGATCTGGTTCACGATGGGTTGCAGAATGCGGTGGACGAAGTTCTAGAGTGGGCGGAACGGTGGCTGATAAAAATTAATCATTCGAAAACGCAGGCTATTTATTGTACCAAAAAAGGTCGCCGCCCCCCAGCATAGGTTTCTGTAGACGGAACTCGTGTACCATGGACAAATTCTGCCAAGTATCTCGGTGTCACCCTTGATAAAGGCATGACCTGGCAGACACATACAGCATCCATAAAAACAAAATTCCAAATTGCGTTTCGGCAACTATATCCTTTGTTATTTAGATCCTCTAAATTGGGTTTGATAAACAAAGTTCGACTATATAAAATGATTATTAAACCAGCCATTACTTATGCATGTGCGGCTTGGTGTTTTCTTGCCAAGACACGCATGCAAAGTCTTCAAGTACTACAAAGCAGAACTTTGCGGACAATTTGCAACGCTCCATGGTATGTCTCAAATGAGACACTACACACAGACCTTGACATTCCTTACTTGAGGGATTATGTCAAGCTTCAGGCGCAGCGACGTTATAGTCAAGCGGAATCGCACAGCAACCCTTTGTTGCGTGACTCAGTGGACTACACAGTGGAGCAAGTTCGTAAACATTCAAGGCCACGGCTCGCACTGTAATCAAAAGTTAGCGTGAATCTTTAGTAAACTCAAAATTACACTCTAACAAAACCGAATCAAAAATTTGTTTAGTTCACCTCAAAATTAATCCGTGTACCAAGTCAAAAAGCCTAGGTGTTTCCTCTTAAACTAAGCATATCTGTTTTTCTTTGTTCTTCTCCTTTTTTCTTCTCTTTCCCTTTCTCTTTTTCCTTGACTTTGTCTGGTTTCTGGGCAACCAGGACTGACAGATTCGACTAACGTACATCAGACAGTGACTAATGGGCAAAGGTCCTACGGACCGCCCAGACAAATAAATGACGAATAGTATCAGCCTTGAGCTATTCGACATTTACTCATGCTCATTTGTAGCAGGCGCGGAATAAGAAAAATATCCCAGGAGTTTATAAATTTTGAGATTTGCCAAAAGTCTCATTAAAAAGGGGCTTTATAATAATGTCAAAATTGAATATTGTGTAATTTGGATCAGTAGCTGGTGTAAGGTATAGCTGTGATAATATTAATGTTAATATTGTAAAAATATAATTATTGTAATGGCGAATAAACATGTGTTTATTTAATTTATTTGTTTATTCGTTTAACTAGCGGCACACTAGGGGCTACCTAGTGCACAAGTTGACATTTTACCGATTATTTTGACATTATATAGGTTTTTTACCTGCCGGTTTCCCCTATTTCAAGAATTTGTGTTTCGTACATACGAGTACATTACACATTAAATTCAATCTGCTTGATAGCAATATCATTATTACACCTATTTGCGAGAATCTATCGGATCATGTGTGAGGCGTAGAGGCCATAAAATAACAATGCAGTTTATTATCGCGAAAAGCTGTTTGAATACGCATACCACGCCAGAGCAAAAAATATTAACAAACGCCTCCGTCGAACGGTGCGACTTTCAATAATCATTCTCGTTTCTTACGCGTATTGTTAAATCAGACTTTGATGCAAATGTCACATAGTCAATCAGAGCGTTCGTGAACGATCTTTTTGATCTTCGTCTCAGTATGATCTCGCGTTTCGGTTTTGGCGCAGTGATGCATTGTGATTGAGACTGTATCTTGCGCAAAGATGAGATTGATCATTATTTCTGATCATCACTCGTGACGCGCAGTGCGCCGATTGTGTCCGACGAAGGTGCGACAAAGGTCTGTATTTGTTAACATAACTATAGTTTAAAATGAATGATGAATTTAAGTAAAAAGTAAATCGACTTAGGAACGCGCAGGTTCTGATGCGCAGTGCTGGCGATTCTACTACACCGAACTCCCTTTTGAAATTAGGATTCATCAAAAAATATCAAATATCTAAAAACTAGGTACTTCGAAAAGTATGTCTTGGATAACTCTTCATTCACAATTGCCGTCGATTGCTCTTCTTTCGTTCCCCATCCATTCACCCAGTAACGGAGTCTTCCTACTTGACGCCTACTGAAGTTGGAAATTTTATAATAATCCGGACATGTAACATCTGATGACCACACAGTTCTAAATAGAGGAAATTAATGTTTTAAATAATAGTTTTAAAAATATATATGTTCACGTTTATTTTCAAGTGCAGTATGTTTTTATAAATATATACCAAATGAATTATCACATTTTCATTAAGATTTTCAAAAGCTTAAGTCCACCAGAAAATATTTTTGATAGTAGTAAATAAAGATCGCTCTGTATATAAATTTAGAGTTGCGCTGTATCGCAATTCATTACTGTTTACGTTTTTTTTTTGTGAGAGTTTCTTTTAGGATTAACTATTCCAAATACGACTTTATATTCATTGTATCTTATCACTGCGCGGAAAATTACGTGATATCAGTAAACTGATTGTGATAGTGCATTATTCGTATTCGGGAGGTGAACTTTGGAAAATACTCATCCTCTTAGAGTCATGGTGAGTTCAATTTGAAGCTTGTCGCATTATTTACCTGAAGTGGAAGATAATGGTGCTAGAGAGATGGTTCCATTTGTGTACGAAATTATGATGGGTACACATGCTTGCAATACCTTGTGAACATAGAGAGCTGCGGATTATCGACACGGACTCAAATGTGAAAAAGGATCGAGTGGTGCCTCTACATAATTATTTTACTTGCAGATAATACGTATTGAGCAATTAGAAAGACATACCCATTATTATCGACGACTACTACTACTGAGAAATTAAGAAAATGGCGTCAAGTAGGTTGACTCTGAACAATTATGTTCGGCACAAGTTAGGCCCGCTGAGAAAAAAGTTAGTTACAAACATGTATAACAAAAAATTGAAAGGATGAAGTCACACGCCCATAGTCCCCACCCATTTAACAACATTGCGATCTATAAATGTTTGCCCTACTCACCACTAACCAGCCTACATATCGGACATCCTGCGATGCATCTCTATTATTCTAATATGTGCGTAGAATTATCTGGGTCGGAGGCGAATAAATATACTAATGCTCGCCCCCATCTCCTACAACACGCAACCCCCATTTTTTAGCCTCTACAATTTTTTTAAAAATAATCAGGAGTCACTGTATTTTCAAATGAAAGATTTGTAATTTTCCTTTGGACCGATTATCAAAAACATTCATTTCATTTTCATCCTTGGCATGGCAGTAATCTTGTCTGAAAATTCCATCAGAATCCGAGTTACAGACGGACCAGGAATTAACGGACGGATAGACCGACGAACCGACAGAAATTAGTGATAATGGCTTTTCATGATGAAGTTTACGCCATTAAAGTACTTCCTCATCAGTTGCGTGGGAAGTAAAGAGTGAATAAGTGAGCGTCGAATAAGGTGAGGATCACTACGCAGTTTTATTTTATTGTGAATCAGGTTTAAAGAAATAACTGGAAATATTGATAGTTTTGCCTCCAACTTGGCAAGTGCTGCTGATTTATTTTCAGTACAACAGATATGTTATCGAAAAAATTAAAGCCATGAAATTTTCTTTCGCTCTTGCTACGCCATTTAATCGTAAAGTGAAATTATAACGATTGATGTTTAAGCCTACTCTACTCGTAAAAGGCGCTGTTTTACAAAACATTTACTTTTATGGATAAAGTGTAGCTCTGAATTTTGTCAATCATTTCTTCTACGGATTGCCCCAGAATATATGAGGTTCCGGCGTCACTGGGTTGTTTATTAAATCTGCAAAATATCGCAGGTCACGTTTGCACAGATTTAAACATTCCTTTGATTGACGTGAACAGTAGCAATAAGATCTTATCAGATCACATTACGTAAACAAAGAAAAAAAGCACCGACTGTGGGTTGGATTCGAGAGCAAACAATAGGTGGGTTGTTTTCTATTGGCTGCACAATCACAAACACCATGCATACAGTGTTATTAGTTGTCGACAAATCGTTTGATTGTTAATCGTATACCTGTTAAAAGTAGTAAAGTCACATTAGGCAACATTGCTCTACATAAACTGGACCCAAATGTGTGATGGAAAATGTCCAAATAAAATATTTATATTCAAACTATTGTCGAATACAATGTTTACTCTCTAAAAACTAAAAAAGATTTATTTTAGTTTTTCCACATCAACCACTCACTCTCAAGGCCTAGCCTCGAGTGCTGCTCACATGTTTGGGATGCTGGCGCCCGGACTACATTATCCATGCTCGATGCTGGCTGTTACAACCGCCTCTTTGTCCCTAGGATATCGAGATTGTGGGACAATCTACCTAAGGCCGTCCCCAGTTCTACCAACCACAAGCAGTTCAAAAATCGGAGTAACAAAAATTCTTTTTAAGCTCCTTGTAGCATCCACGGTGCTCTGGTGTTTAGGCTTCTGCCTTCGCATCTGCGAAGGCGTTTAAATGGGTTGTGGTGCATCTTAACATACGTAATTTGTGTACTTGAAATGTGATAATAGGTACGCTAGGGGTATTACGTAACTTGAAAAGTGACATTATGTCGTTTTGACATTATGTAGGTTCTCCAACAAGTTGACATTTTATCGTTTTTTTTTATATTATACAGGTTTTTTACGTAATAACTCTGCCGGAGATTCGAATCCTCAAAGCATAATTTAAGCTTCTAACCTCAAGCTACAGCAGCTATCAATTTATATAAAATAAATGTATGAAATTTGCACGTCCTGTTTGTTCCATTGTTTTTGCAGTTTACATTACAGCATGTATTTGACGAATTTCGGGAATTTGAAAGATTTACATAAACATATTCAATAAATTTAGTGTGGAATTGCATAAAAGTAGCAATTTGACACATATCAATCCCACGTTTTTGCACATCTCCGCAAGGGGGATCCAGCATTTGTGTCAGGAGGGGTCACAGGATTCATGTTCAGGAAAATATCCGTCTCCGGCGCGACGGGGGGACACTTTTTTAATTTAAAAATCATTCTCATCCCGTACTTTAATTTGACGTGACTAACGGCTGAATGTAAAAATACTCTATTTTTCAATAATCCTACTTTGTTGTCAAGTGCAATATTTATGAGTTTCTTACGGAGTGAAAAGTAGGTACAAAATGCGTTCAGACATACATATAATGAATTATATTTACGTGGGCATCCCCAGTATATAATAAACACACATCTAAAAATGAGTAAATGCATTTGTTGTGGGCTTTCAGCTAGTAGGTGACTATTTATTGAACCACTTTGTTGTAAGAGGGCATCAATGTAACTGGAACATGCATTTTGAGCTGTTGATGAGCCAACGCAAAACGGTATCTCGAGGAAGTAATATTAGTTTATCAAGATATGGAGACTGTGACTCTGAAAGCTGAAAATATTGTGCTTTCTCGTATTCTGCTGAAACCAGGGCACACATTAGTACAGGGTACATGATATTTTCTGGGTGATCTAAATTATTTAAGCGACTTGTTTCAGATGATTTCATGGAATAAAAGGACGGATTTGACCCCTAAGTCTGCCATTTTTTTTACAAGAAAATACTATGTTGGTAGGGATGCACGATATTTATCGATGTATTTAAAACATCGATATATTGGAGCAAAAGATCGATATTTACACATCGATGTGTCACATGGTCGATATTTAATTCATCGATGTACAAGGAACCCGATAATTTGAAACATCGATGATTTTACATTGAATATCGTTATGATAAATTGCAAAATTTCTAACAAATCAAAAATAATTGTGCGAAATTTTCTAAGAATTTTGTTTTCTTGGTCTGGTTAACTGGTAACTCTTAACACTGCGAGCGATTCGCACTCAGCCGATGTTGCCGATTTTCGACCGCGGGTCGTTCCATTGTGTTATTTTGTTGTCATTTATTGATGTTTACTGTTTAGAGTCGTTTGTATTGCTCAACCAAAGACGTTGCATTCTTAAAGTTGTTCAATATAATGGATCCAAGTGCATTGTGGCAGTATTTTAGTAGAGTTGAGAAGAATTAGAAGTGTAATATATGTGGAAAGTTAATCAAAACATCTGGGAACACTACAATTTGTCATGCCACCTGAAGAAACATGATATTCCTAAAACTCGGAAGAATATAGGCAGTAACTCCAGTGACGGTCAAAAAAATCTTTGCAATAAAAACCAGGAATAGATTAGGTGAAAATCAATTGTCAAAACTTCTTTTTCTCGGTTCATTGGATAAAGGTGACTGGATATTTTAGGTTTTACTTGTTGCTAAATAACTTTTTTCCTGTTCTTTCTACAAAAAAAGACTGAATATTTTACTTTCGTTTGTTCATTTCGTTATGAAATTTTTATTTAAAGCATTTGTTAAATGCTTGTTAAGTTTGTTTTTTTTATAGCTTCCTATTTAAGTTTTCTATATCTTTGAATATGAATTGTGACTACAATCTACAATATATGTTTACTTTCGTTTGTTTATATATCGTTGTTGGTCACATATGACATTTTTATTTTTAACATTTGTTAAATGTTTGTTAAGATTGTTTTTATAGTTTTCTGTTTGAGTTTTCTATATCTTTGAATATGAATCATTACTACAGTCTACAATATACAGGGTGACAGGTAAATAGGTGTAAAACATTTTAGGAGGTGATAGTACAGCTCCTTTGCTATCAAAATTAGTATATAATACCATACCCTATATTCAAAGGTTAAAAAGTTATGGAAGATTTAATTTTTTTAAAACCAACCCAGATTACAGAGTAAAATAGTTGAGAAAAAAAAAGTTGGTGATTAAACATTCTTTTTTTGGTGGTTTCAGGTTATTATTTAAATAAATAATTCTCATAAATTAAAAAACATATGAAAACACTACTGAAAACGTATTTATTTTCATTTAAATGTTAAATGAAAATTTTTATTTTCAACTTTCACATTAAGAAGTATTTTTTTTTAAAATCATAATAAAGAAAATGTACAAATAACTGCAAAAACTTCCTCGTTTCATTAGGTTTCTAAAATGGTATAATAACGTATCAGTAAGTAAACCATTTAACAAAACTTATTACTACGGCAGAGACCCGAGTTATAGCAAAGCAGCTTGGTTTAACTCAGTGGAAAGTTTGGTTCGTTTTGCATTCGGCGAGACTTTACCCTTTCCATTACACACCGGTTCAAGTATTAGAAGAAGGAGATCCCGCAAGAAGAATTGATTTTTGTCGATACATGCTTCATCGGGATCAAGAAGAAAACGAGTATTTAACTAAAATATTGTGGACCGACGAGTCTAAGTTTGACAGAGAGGGGACAACAAATTATCACAACTTACATTATTGGGCCCCACGAGAGGCAAATCCCCACATGGCAAAGCCTCGCCCATCAAAGAAGATTTTCGGCAAACGTGTGGATGGGAATTATTCAGACGTATCTAATTGGACCAGTTTTTTTGCCTGACAACCTGAATGGCGGATCCTATGAAAGCTTTTTGAGATCAGGATGCAGATGTTCTACCAACACGATGGCCGTCCCGCGCATTTCCGTCTGGGTGTTAGACAGTGGCTGGACGAGAAATATCCTTGTTGCTGGATTGGTCGAGGTGGACCGACACCATGGCCAGCGAGGAGCCCAGATTTAACACCGTGTGACTATTATTTATGGGGGCACATGAAGTCACTGGTGTATGCTGAGCCCATAGACACTCTTGCACAGCTGAAAGAAAGAATTATTGCTGCTGCTGACACTATCAGAGGACAACTAACTGGCCGCATCACGCGTACCAACATGAGAAAAAGACTACGGGCTTGCATAAGAAACGGCGGGCGTCAGTTCGAACAACAATTGCAATTAATTTTACCTTCATTTCATTATTGTATTTTACTTACCAATTGTAGTAACTTTTAGTCAGTTTTAATTATTTTGTAGTACAATTACAACTGTGTAAATAATCTAATCGTGTAACTTAACCGTAGTTTAAAATAATAACTATCCCATAGCTTACAGTTATATTATTTTCACAAAAACACTTTCTTATCAATCAGAGAGTTGTGAAAATAGGAGACAAGCCATTGGTAAATTTACTCCCTATTGTTGTATTACAATACATTATGTTTAGTTTCGCACAGTTTTTGTGCACTTATCATACCAATTTAGATTCCTTATGAAACAAGGATATTATTTAAATTTTTTGTTCGTTTTTTTGTATACTGATTTTTTTGTAAAGCACCTTACTTACTGTAAAACGTTATTTGTTTTTCTTAGTTAAACATTTTTGAATGAAAATAAATACGTTGTTTGGTATTTTCGAATCTTTTTTAATTTATAATAGTTAATTATTGAAATACGAGTAATAACCCAAAACCACAAAAAACAAATGTTTAATCGCCAACTTTTTTCTCTCTCGACTTTTTTACTCTGAAATATGGATTGTTTTTAAAAAAATCTTGAATCTTCAATAACTTTTCAACCTTTGAATATAGGGTATGGTATTATATACTAATTTCGATAGCAAAGGGGCTGTACTATCACCTCCTAAAATGTTTTACACCTATTTACCTGTCACCATGTATATGTATGTACGTTATTTATAATACAGTGTTCAATGTTCCTTGTAGTTTTATTGAATATCAAAAATTACTTGTAATATTTATATTCTTTTTTGCCACCAACTAGAAAAAATTGTTGACAATTATTACAATAACATGTACGGAATTTACGTGTAAAAATGTATACCTACTAATACCAGTAGCGATATTATCGTATTATCGATGGTTCAAACCGATGTTTTTGAAACATCGATAAAAATGCAGCGATGATTTATAACATCGATATATCTAATTTCGATGTATCGAGTATCGATATATGGATGCTTTATGAATTTTGTGCATCCCTATATGTTGGTGTAAAAATTTTCTTGCACCCGGTTTTCAGTTGTATCAGAAGCGCTGGTTAAGTCCTGAAGCATGCATTATTAGAACGACAAAATAGCTATTCTTTAAATTTCTCACCCAGCCAGATAAACGGAATTCATTTCTATTCATACAATGACTGATAGACATCTACAGAAACACCTGTGCATTTTCAAAACCTATAATGAGGTATTCCCCAAATATTTTATTCCGATGGGACATTATTTTCTCTCCAAGAAGTGTTATGAATATTTTCACTTCTATCTATGAAAGAACAGTAGTAAAACATGATCAACAAAGTTCAAACGTAGGAGTTCGCCCCAAAGCTGTGACTTTATTCTTTTTCAATGATATCCGCAATAAAAAACAAGTCCTATTGACTGACTACAAATTACAAATACGTTCTTTTTCAACACACGAGCAAAAAAATAGGATAAAACGTATCGTTCTTGAAAAATGAATATAAACTATATACTTCCGCTGGTAAAAAAGCAATTCTGTATATGATTAGAATACATCATTATGAACCCAAAAATCTTTAATAGCGAATTAACTTCTCTATTTATTGCAGACGACAATAATGAGATTATTCAAACGACGAAACTCCGATCCGAACCCTCAATTGGAGAGCTTGTCATCGCTTTCGGATGTCGAGGATCACAAGACGAAGTCAGCCAGAATTGACGTTAATAGATCATATGAGGCTCCCAAGTCAGGTATGTGTTTCTTTCTTTTCCAAAGGATCTAAGACCGACTCTTGCATAAATCGGGAGCTCCTGGAGTACTTCGAACGTTCCGGCTTGATTAGCGACAGATAGTATGGTTTGCGGCACCAGCGATCCACAAGGGATCTCCTAGCTTACGTCAAGCAATTGTGGAGGAAGCTCATCCAATGTCATGGTTCCAATCCAAACTTCCATCCTATGGCATCCCAGAGAAGCTTTGCGGATGAGAGGCTTTTTCTCTGGCAGCACACAATGCCAGCGCGGCTGTCCCCAGGGATCGGTCTTGGCTACGACATTGTTCCTCTTACATATCATTTACCTCCTTTCCTGTACGATCAATCATTCAGAGTGATAAGCTGATCTCTGATGGTGAGCTGGAGGAAAGAAGAATAGTACCTAGCGACAATCTAGTACAGTTTAATGCTTTCAAAACACAGTATTCTACCTTGATGAACAAAAAGCGTCCTAGTGCTCATCCGGTTTCGATGTATGGCCAAGTTCTACCAAAAAGCGGTTATGAGTTCAGATCACAGAGGACTTGATCTGGCACGAACACATCTCGTCAATAGCGGTACCCTTTGGCACCATCGGGCCGTCGGCGATGTAGCTCTCTTCACCGCTCCTCAATGCCTGCCCGAAAGACTCGCCTAACTTCGGCCAACAACCGTGTCGAACTTCGTACATCCATAACTGGCCGATATTATCGCTCCTATGTCCCTAGGGTATCAAGATTGTGGAACAATCTACATGAGGAGGCTTTTCCCAGTTCTACTAGCCCTAGGCATTTCAAAAATCGGATTGACAAAGTTTCTTTAAGCTCCTCATAGCAGCCGCGGTGCCCTGGCACTTAGGCTTTTGTCTGTGCGACTGCTTCGGTGTAAAAAAGATATTTTGATTACTTTAATGCAAAACAGTTCTATCGTGATGTGCCAGAGCTGATAGAGAGTGGTTCTATATGTTTTTTTACAGTTTTTGGTGGGCACAGTAGAACTGCAGGAATTACTTTCATAAATGCGTCTCTCATATGCAATCGGCCTCCATGCGCGAACGTTTGTTTGTATAAGCTCAGACATACGTGTTTTTTGTTTTGTCACCGCCCTAAAAAATTCTCTCGTCAAGGTATGATTCTTCCATACGCATGCTTGTCATTGTCAGAATAACAACTTGCTTGACATGAGCGTGCGAGCTTACTTTGTGTTGATCTTCGATGTAAAACAGTGCATGAAGATACAACTGCAATATCGACAATCTGTATTAAAATTGAAGTATTTTGGAAAAGTGAATCAAAACAACGGTCTTCTATCACCCAATCCATGTGTGTGTCCTTGAGCGAGCAATAGCTGCGTTAAGACTCAGCTTGTTCAGGGTGCAGTTTCCCTTAGGAAAATTCAGCTACGCACATGGTACAGTTAGTCAATCTGTGTACCTATATTGATGACGTAACAACCAAAAACGGTAAAAGAACTACAGTGGACCTCCGGTAATCCAGTAAGACCCCCTATAGTCCGGAATTTTTTACAAAAGAGTACCTTGTAATCCGACAAAATACATATCCAATGGTAAGATTATATATGTTATGTATATGTATATACTTTGAAGTACAAATTATACATAGTTTATGTATGTCGAACTTAGTAAATTAAATAACAATAGAGAGCTTACGTTTTATTATAAAATTAAACATAAATGCACATACATATGTACCAAAATAATCAAGAATTATTAATCAAAATTATTAATGAATTTATGAAATTATGAAGCTTGGAAATATTCATCAATTTTTTTTTTGTTTAAGGTTGTTATAACGCGAGATCAGTTAGTAGTTAGTTCGTTGTAGGGTGTACCATTCTCTTCAGCCCATTGTAAACGTAGCTCAGGAGTTAATTGCGTCTTGTACTGTGACTTGTGGAGAAGTTGCAATCACGTCGTCGTTATTTTCCTGATTGTTTGTTGTATAAATTAGAAACCTCTTTTATAATCTCTTCGTCAAAAATTTCATGAAAAACATTTTCCTCTTTATCCATTCCACTGCACCAGATTTCCAAATCTTCCGGACTTATCTGTGTTTCAGTAGCGACTTGTTCTACAACTTCCGAAGTTACACTGATTTGTGGAGCGTTGCTAGGAGTGGTGACTATATCTAGCCATAACTTTTTTCCAAGACGACTTAATAGTTGATAACGCATTCCACGACTGACAAAGAGCAAAAACCTTTCATATTAAAATCTTTTAAAGTTTTTTCTATTGGTTGGTCTTTTGATACGGCTCTCAGAAGTAGGTTTTTCTTATAGTCTTGCTTGACAAACTGAGTGATATTCTGATCCATTGGTTGAATCAGTGCAGTGCAATTTGGCGGAAGAAACATCGCAGTGATGCATTTATCCTCAGTTGTTGTTCTTTTTCAGACGGATGACCGGCAGCGTTATCAAGAAGCAACAACGCTTTTTGAGGAAAATTTTGATCTTTTAAACATTTTCTAACTTCAGGTATGAAGCATTCATCAAACCACTTTTTGAAAGGGACTTTTGTCATCCATGCACTTTTTTGTCCGTAATAGTGTACAGGTAAATCAATGTTTTTGAATGCCCGTGGTTTATTAGATTTCCCAATGACCATCATCTTAAGCGCGTGTGTGCCCGCAGCGTTAGCACATGGTAGTATGGTTATATGCTCTTTACTTACTTTTCGTCCAGGTACGAATTTTTCGTTCCAAGAAACGAAAAATTTGTTAGGCATCACACGCCAAAAAAGCCCTGATTCGTCTGCATTGTACACCTGTGACGGGTCAAGATTTAAATCGTTCACCTTTTGCAAAAATCTTAATTTAAAGGGCTCTATGCAGGTGGCATCGTTAGAAAGTTTATCTCCTGTAATAGTCATTAAACGTATGCCATGACGACTTTTAAAACGTTCTAGCCATCCTCTACTGGCCACCAAATCATCTTCTATTGTTATTTCCTTATGAAAAAACTTAGCTTTCATGGCCAACATGGGTCCTGAAATTGGTGCATGCCTATTTCTTTCCGGAAGAAACTACATGTACAAAGCTTCTTCCACTTCAGAATGTTCAGCTTTCTTGAGTCTGTCTCTTGCTTGGGCCAAAGTCAGTAGTTGACACGAACTTCTTGATCTTCTCGTGGTTTCTTTTAATGTCATAAATTGTAGATCGGCCTACGTCGTATTCACTTGCTAAACTACTGAAAGTTTCATTGCAATTTAAGCGGTCTAAAATATCACATTTTTCTTTAATTGTCAATGTTTTGTGCTTTCGCTTCTGAGTTTGTGATGACATTACTAGGTACTATACTTAATACACAATGAATAAATAGTAAACAATGAACGCACGCTATTCCGTACCGCTATCACAAGTAGTCAATTTCAAACTAAGTAAAACAATGTTAACGCGTCGAGCACGAAAGATATCCAGTCTAATTGAAGGCCGTGCAACCATTTATGCTTAACAGCTGGATACGTGTCGACCACCGTCGCCGCTTTTCGAAATTCTGAGAACACGAAATCTTAGGAAAACCTACGAGGAAAATTGACAGATGATATTTCCTCGGAAAGCTAATATGCTTAAGAATATATTCTCTTTAAAAGGAAAAATGAGTTTTTATTGACACCATGCGAAGCACTATGATTCTAATTGGCAGCATGGCTGTGACGATGAAACTTGTATGTGAAACGTCCAAATAAGGTTGGGCATCTATCAGAGTTTTGGTGCAGGGACCCTGATTTAAGACAGTTTTTCACAACATTCACTTTTGAATTTGTAATAATTTTAATACTTGCTTCTTCAATATTCTTGAACGAATTGCTCACTAGGAAATTTTGGTCGATTGTTGCGAATTTGTTGACTAGCAAAAATTTATATAATATTTGAGTATCAGGAGTGCAAAATGTATCATTTAAGCATTCTTGCTGTACACCCACTACCCGCCACTGACATTTCAACAACCAATGCTTGGAGAAGTTTTCAAATAAATCTTGTATAATTGCATTTCAGTTTGCATTGAAACTTTATGTTGATTGGCTAATTATTTATGAATGAATACGAAGTGTTTGTTTATAAAAAAGACAAATTGCGCGTGAGCCGACATCTACACACACAGTGTGAATAATCAGTTAGGTGAATGGATAATTATTTCATAATTTTAAAATCAACATCAGCGATTTGATTTAAATACGGTACCGCCAGATATATCATTAGCCTTTTCGTGGGTAAGGCATCTTTTTTTTCCTATGCGAATGGTCTGTTGATCGATTGACGTGTGGGCAATGACTATAGCGTGGGATGGCAGCCGCCAGTATTTTTATCTGTTTCATGTGACTGAATGAATGGCCTTCTCAGATGGCATTTTGTATACACCTCACGATAAAATTCAATTTCAAGAAATCCTTCAATCCTAGTGTCTCTACAACTCGGAAAGTACCTACTGCTAATTTTGTCACAAGGATGGAAACGCTTTGTAGGTTTTGAAAGTATTTGGGATATGCAAAAAACGAAAAGTTTAAAACGTCCGTAATCGTTGTTTCTCAGTGTTTTTCGAGTTTCTGATTTTGGCAAATGCATTTTTTAAGAGAATCCTGGATACAGTAAATTTTCATTTCTCCTTTAATCAATTAGACCGCTCTGATTAACTTTTAACCTGATTACATTGCATATTGGCATCCAAGTACTTCAGTTTTGACTAGTTTTTATCAAACCATATCAGTATGCCTGGCAATCAAAAATTTGCGGTTGGCTCTTGGCCTATTACTTCTTCCTCTGAGTCACTCTGAAAACTAGTTTTCAAAGCAATCTATTATAAGGTTTAAATATCTGCAAAATGACTTAACCATTTTGAACTATTTGCAAATTTTTGAATTGTCGGGAAGCTCTCCGTTAATTTAATAACAAACAAAGTTTTGTAACCAAATAATAATAATAATGATAACAATTTTTATTTCCTTAAAGTAACAATAAAATAAGTAGCAAATAAACGGTAGAA